CTTTATATTTTCTCTAATTTGTTCATTAATATTCTTCCACTCAATATTTGCTAATTTTTGTCCTTCAATCAATGGCATATATGTCATCAATCCCTCCTAATTCATTGTTAAAGACTAATATATATTATTTAAAATAATTTGTTTATAATAATGATATAGTTATAATATTATGTATGATTGCAAGTTTATAATCTTGAGGTGTTAATAAAAAAGTAGATATATATAATATTATAGGTAAGTTTTTGAATAAAAATAACTAATTATGTAACAATATATTTATAATATAAAATTATAATATCACGTGACATTATAAATATATTAATTTTTTTGTTTAAATAATTTTCACCCAATAGGCTTTCAATAGATGCAAAAATATTATAGTATTATTTCTTGATGAAAATTTCCCTTTTGCACCCTCAAAACAAAAATTTCTGGCTTCACCACTTATTGAGGTAGAAGAAGAGTGACTGTTTACACCTAAAATAAACCAATAGGGTAAGGCCACGTGTCAAGGTAAAGCCAATCATCAAGAAAATCAATAGGCTGGATTTGGGCTGGGCTGGCTTACAATTTAATGGCCCAGACGGATTTCCAAGGAGGTTAGATCTTAGGTGGCAGAAGATAAGATTGGATCTGGTAGTTTGAGTTTGATTTAAAATGGGAAATTGAGGATTTTTAGGTAGTTATCTTTAATGTTGTTGGAGATAAGGTTAAATAAAAATCGGATAACTATTAAATAACTGTCAGACCTGCAATCCTATTACCAGAAAATGGAGGAACAGTGCTGAAAATGGAGGAACAGTACCGAAGATCATGGAGAAGATCATGGAGGAGGTTACCAGCATCGAAGGGAACAAAAACAGAGAGAAGAGAACAGTTCAAGGCTTGCCCAACACACACACAGACTGCCCAAAGCATGTTTTTCAGTTTTCAGACTGCATTTTCCAGATTTCAGCAATAGTTTGTTGATTTCCCAGATTTTCCAGATTAGTTCATAGCCTTAGCCTAGGTTTGTTCACCTTTGTTCATATTTCCTTCCGCAAATCTCAATTTAGATTTATTTTTAAGTATTTGAAAACAACTTAGCCTTCAAAACAGGTCTGCCCTTTTGATTCGGTTAGTTCTTCTTCTTTTTATGGATTTAATTATGTTATTCGTTCATGTAAATAGGTTGAATGTTTTCTTTCTACCTTTGTTCTTTTGTTTCTGCACAATATCCAAACATTCAGTTTATTTAATTTCAATTTCCAGATTTGATTTTATAAGTTTTCAGACTTTAATCATTTCATAGTTTCTTCTTTAGTTTTAGTTAATTATTATGGACTGCGTAGTTGAAATTATTGTTTGTTATTTTACTTTTTCTGTTGTTTGCGGATTTAATCTTCATGGCATGTTATTTTCTGTTCTTTACTTCATGTTAGTTTAATTGCTTTAGGATATTGCATTTATTTTAGGATTTGTAACTTTTATTACACTTGTTTGGTTGTGAAGTCCTTGGAGGTTTCAAAAGCAATTAGGAACCCATTTTGCAGAACTCTACTCTCTGTTTTACAACATCGTCTGGGGCGCAATTCATTTCACAGACGTTCTTTCCAGCCATCTTATTGGAGGTCGACCGTTAGAAAGGAGAAGGATCGTCTAGAAAATCCTATTTTCTTGTTTTTAGACAAAGCAAGTGACACGCCTAATAACCAAACTCACGTGGTAAAGGCCGGCTGAGGATTTTTGGGGAAACAGTGACCAATGCTGGTAAGGATATTGTCTGCTCCAAAATTATCTTCCCCAAAGTTTAAAAATTTAAAATTTTTAGTGTTTCTTCTTTCTTCTTCTTCTTTTTTTAATATCGAAATTGCCATCACTATTTCTTTGCAATTCTATATATCATTTGGCCAACTTTATCGAGGTCAATGCACTTTGATTATGTCAAATGACATTAATTAATAAGATAATAATTGATACACATTTTTTTTTAACATATTGTATAATATATTTATTAAAAAATTATTATTATTTTATTTAAAATTATAAATAAATAAAAGGTACCATTTTGGTCCCTCAACTTTTCACTTTGAAATTAAAATTGTCCCTCAACTTTAAAAAATACTAAAAATATCCTTAAATTTTCATTTTTAGTACCAAAATGATCCTTCCGTCAGTTAAGTGAGAGGTGGCAATGTTAAAATGCCACAAAATCACACTTTTAAAAATGTAATAATTACGTGAAAAGCAAATCATACGAAAAGTGATGAAATGGCAATTTTTCTTTTTCCATGTGGCATATTTTTTCTATTTAAATAAAAAACTCACATAATATAATATAATATATTATATTGTTAATCTTCTTCCTTCATTCTTCTCTCTCATCCCTCCGGCTCTTCCTCTTTCCCAGCCTTCTTCCTCATCTTCCATCCCTTCTTCCTCTTTTTCCTTCCTCCTTCGACCTTTTTCTTGTTGTTTCTCTCTCCCCTTTCTTCATCTTCCTCTTTCCCCTACCAGATCTATGTGGGTTCTCCCTTGAGAACTCAGATCTAGGTTCTCTCTCTAAGAAAGAACCCAATTTTCAGTTCTAAGAAAACCATTCTCCATGAGAGCCATGGATCGATGATGGACATATCGATTGAACCAAGGATTACAAAGATTTGAGCCCTTCGACATTAATTGCAAGAACCTAGATCTGGGTTGTTTCCATACAGGCTAAGTTTTTTTGCTTTCTTTTTCTTTTTTGGTGTGTGTTTGGTTGCCATGAAAGATTGGTTCTTTGGGTATTCACAGATTCTTAAGAAACAGAATTACAAACAATGAATGGCGTAGGAATTCTTTGACCTTGGTGATGAATTGGAAGGCAGCGTCGCGGTGGAGGAGAGAATCGAAGGAGGGGATCCGAGTGGAGTCTGGCTGGACAGGGCAGATGCAGAGGGAATCGGGTTTGAGAAAGTTTGGGTCTGTGCTTCTTAGGGATTTTAGTGACGAGAAAGGAGGTGGAAAAAGGAAGGTGTTTTAGGAAGTTAGGGTTAGGGTTTAACAGTGGTTTGGAGAAGATGAGGCGCGGAGCCATGGAAATCGGCTATGGAGTTCGGGTACCATTTGAGTCATTAATTTTGGTAAGAACAAAGATTTGGGTTGGGGCAGATCAGGAAGAGAGAAGGGTCGAGATTATCAGATAGAAGGATGTTGGACAACACCGGTGACCGTGGGTGGTGCCGATGTGATGTAGGTAATTTATGTGTGAAACCCAGATTTGAGTTTGAGAAAAACCCAGATCTGGGTTTGAGAGAAGATCTGGATTTCGGATGGCCGCAAAAGGCACACCAGGATCGCGTCGCTCATGCTCTCTGCTTGCTAAGTGAACCATTCATCGGTGCCGAGGAAGAAGCCTGGGAAAGAAGAAAGGGCGAATGGATGAGAGAGACGAAGGGAGGAAGAAGAAGATGAATAATCTAATATTAAATTATGTGAGTTTTTATTTAAATAAGAAAAAATTACCACATGGAAAAAGAAAAAAGAAAAATGCCATCTCATTAAGTTTATTTTTCACCTAATTATTATTATTTTTTAAATGTGATTTTGTGACAAAATAACGTGCCACCTGTCATTTAACTAACGAAAGACGGTTTTGGTATCGAAAATGAAAGTTAAAGGATAATTTTGATACTTTTTAAAGTTGAAGGACCAAAATGGTACTTAAACCTAAATAAAATTAAAGATACAATCATACACATATGATATAAAAATCAATTGAATTAATT